AGTCTGGTCAAAATGCTAAGAACAAGGGACTGCTGAGTGTCTAACCCTAAACAGGACATTCACCTCACCCACTCTATGGCTCAGAGAATGGTAGAGAAAAGGGAGCAGAAAGAAATGAGAGCTGGGTGGTGGACAGAAGAGCTATGAAATGTTGTCCTGGAGGCATGACATGGCCCTTGCAATCATGGACTCAGAGCAAGTGCAGCTACCTGCACATGGACTGCTAGGCCTGTCAACCATCAGTCACACAGGTGGAGGAGGGGTTCCTGGAGCCCTATTCCTCCCCGAGGAACCACTGGCTACTTAGAAATGCTGCAAGAGAGAGTAACTGTCTTTCAAGTTGTGTAGCCACTGCTGGGCTCTTGTTCCAAAGGATGGTTCCACACTCATGCTCATGTGGACAGCCCTGGTTAAACTGAGTGGGTCAAACAACTAAACAAAAGACATGGAAAGGACTTCGGAAAGGACTTTAGGGAGAATGGGGTTGATGACAATAGGAGGGAAATATGAAAGGGTGGTAGGGAGAGTAACCAGAATGTACGGTATACACATGTGTGCGCGTTAAACCGTGAAAATCAATTTCCTTATGAAAGACAAATAAGGGGGCTGAAGAGCCGGCTCAGAGGTTAAGTGCACAGGCTGCTCTCCCAAAGGTCCTGAGTTCAATTCCCAGCTACCACATGGTGGTTCACAACCATCTACAATGAGATCTGGTGCCCTCTTCTGGCGTGCAGGCATACATGCAGGCAGAACATTGTATACATAATAAATAAATAAATCTTAAAAAATAAAAATAAATAATTGAAAGAAAATTCATTAATCCATTAGTTTTCAACTTCCTGTCTTTTTCCTTATTATCAACGTATCAAGATGACTAAAGGCAATGAGAGAGAAATAAGAAAATCAAAGAAACATGACAATAAAATTTAGAAAAAGCAATAAGTTAATAACTTTATAGAAAGAAAAGTATTCCACTAGCAATACTATTTTCTTTCAATAATTTTTCACTAAATAATATTTAAATTTCCTAATACAGTCAGGTAAGGAAATAACAGTAATTTCAAACAGGGTCAGCACAATGACTCAGCAGGTAACAGCACCTGCCGCTGCAGTTCCCCAGAAGAGAGAACCAACTTCCAAAAGCTGGCCTCTGACCTCCACACACACCCACATACACATCCTGCACACACACCCACATACACATCCTCCACACACACCCACATACACATCCTCCACACACACCCACATACACATCCTGCACACACACCCACATACACATCCTCCACACACACCCACATACACATCCTCCACACACACCCACATACACATCCTGCACACACACCCACATACACATCCTGCACACACACCCACATACACATCCTGCACATACACCCACATACACATCCTCCACACACACCCACATACACATCCTGCACACACAACAATAATAATAAATAACAGGAAACTTAAAAAAAAAACAGAAAACACAAAAGGCCTCAGGTTTCAAGTCTCAGGATTGCAGAAACAAACACCAACAATTAAAAGTGAAAACGAAAGGAAATAGGAGAGGAAAAAAAGCAGAGAGATGAAAAAAATAAGACATGCAAGAAAAAGACAAAATGATACATGTGTATAGAAATGCTAAAATGAAACTATGATGGTAATCTCAATTGTCCCTTTGATAAGAAGGACCTCTGGACACAACTACCAGGAATCAGACCAGCCAACCACCCACCCACTATGGTACGCCATTCCCTGGGCTGGGATCCTGCACTGCGTAAAACAGAGGAAGTGAGCTTGCCCAGGCAATCATCACTCTGCTTCTGACTACAGATGAAATGTGACCAACTCCCTCATGTCCCTCTGCCATGATTCCCTCATCATCAAGGACTTTAGCCTTCCACTGTGAGTCAAAATAAACCCTTTCTCCCTGAAGTCACATTTGATAGAGTATTTAATTACAGCAACAGAAAAACATAACTTAGAAACTCTGTCACTGTGTGCTAGCTTAAATAACATCATCTTTGTATCTTAAAATATAACAATATCTTTGTATCTTAAAACATAAGATATAAAGAATTTGAGAGATAAAAGAAATAGAAAACATTATTAGCTGAACACATAAACTGCACATTACTTAGGTTGCAACCCAATAACTTTTAAACATCTCTTTAGTTCTGCAAATGCCTTTGGTGACCTATCAAGCTTTAAAGAAACAATTAGTCTACAATTTTTAGCACCCTTACCAAATGTTCAATCATGTTCAATACAAAGAATGTCAAGCAAACCAAAGTTTCTGATGAATTGCAACTTGCCTTAGTTTAGACTATCCATCAACATGTAAAAGTCAAAATAAAAACTCTACTGCAACCAAGTCAAGTTTCTGATCACAAAACACCCATAAACCCTGTGGTCAATTAAGTTAGTCTTGCTTTTTCAATCTACTTATTAGAGCTCTAGGCTAGGACTAGGAGAAATTGTGCAACTTACAGCAGTGATAACGTCTGAACTCTGCACTCTTACACTCTGACCCACTTTCCAAACTACTGAGAACAATGTTTAGTAAGCAAGCAGACCAAATCCAGCAATCAGCTCAACCACCCTAGGGTATTTTCTCCACTGATTCATCCCTTTGAACTAAGAGTTAAGAACCAGGACACGCACAACACTGCTCAGTGTTTGAGTGCTTGCCTAGAATGCAGAAGTTAAAATATAAACTGTGGGGGAAAACACAGACCAGTCTATGGCATCTGTGTTACACATATCAGTGAATGTACTAAGCAAGTACACTAAGCAGGAAGGTCTTTACTTTGCAAATCCATATTCAGACAACAAATGATCCACACAGCAAACAGGACTCGCCCTTGAATCTGAGCATACTGACCATCTTATGACGAATAGGGACTAGATATAATGCAGTAATATTTGAAAATATTGAAGAAGACCTAGAAAAATGGGTCAGAGATTGAGAGCACTGACTGCTCCTCTAGAGATCCTGGGTTCAATTCCTAGCACCCATGTGATGGCTCACAACTGTATGTAGTTCAGTTCCAGGGGACCCAACACCCTCTTCTGTCCTCCTTAGATACTGCATGCATGTGGTACACAAGCATACATTCAGACCAAAACTCATACCCACAAATAAGTTTTTTTAAATCCCAAAATAAAAATTTAAATACTGAAGAGTTTAAATTTAATTCTATAATTACCTTTCTTCTAGAAAGCACTGATTTGGCCACTGATTCTTTTTTTGTTTTGTTTTGTTTTTGTTTGTTCGAGACAGGGTTTCTCTGTGTAGCTTTGGAGCCTGTTCTGGAACTCCCTCTGTAGCCCAGGCTGGCCTTGAACTCACAGAGATCTGCCTGGTTCTGCCTCCCGGGTGCTGGGATTAAAGGCATGCACCACCACCGCCCAGCTGGCCACTGATTCTTAATATAACCCTTGTATTACCTTTTTGGGAAAGAAAAATATTCCTTCTCCTCAGGATGAAATCTCTAAGAGCTTTGGGACATAGCTGAAAGGGAAGCAGCCAAGTCTCTGAAGAAGTGTGCATGATGCCACAGGCGTGAGGAAGTGTGCATGATGCCACAGGCGTGAGGAAGTGTGCATGATGCCACAGGCGTGAGGAAGTGTGCATGATGCCACAGGCGTGAGGAAGTGTGCATGATGACACAGGCGTGAGGAAGTGTGCATGATGACACAAGGCGTGAGGAAGTGTGCATGATGACACAGGTGTAAGGAAGTGTGCATGATGACACAGGCGTGAGGAAGTGTGCATGATGACACAGGCGTGAGGAAGTGTGCATGATGCCACAGGAGTGAGGAAGTGTGCATGATGCCACAGGCGTGAGGAAGTGTGCATGATGACACAGGCGTGAGGAAGTGTGCATGATGACACAGGCGTGAGGAAGTGTGCATGATGCCACAGGCGTGAGGAAGTGTGCATGATGACACAGGCGTGAGGAAGTGTGCATGATGACACAGGCGTGAGGAAGTGTGCATGATGACACAGGCGTGAGGAAGTGTGCATGATGACACAGGCGTGAGGAAGTGTGCATGATGACACAGGCGTGAGGAAGTGTGCATGAGGCCACAGGCGTGAGGAAGTGTGCATGATGACACAGGCGTGAGGAAGTGTGCATGATGCCACAGGCGTGAGGAAGTGTGCATGATGACACAGGCGTGAGGAAGTGTGCATGATGACACAGGCGTGAGGAAGTGTGCATGATGCCACAAGGCTTGAGGAAGTACAGTGTTACTACAAACCATGTCTTCTTCCCCAATGAGGTTCCCCGAAACGTTACAGGATGGATAGGCATACAGCAACAACAAAGAGCATTTACAACATAACCGTAAAAGTAAAAAGTATGAAAAGATGTGTTAAAGAGTCAGAATTCTGATAGATGAAGGGAAAGGCAGCCAGAACAGTTAACAGGAACTCAAAATGCAGAGTCCTAGATTATATGACAAGAAGCTGGGCGTATTCTAATGCAACAGGGAGATGCTGGTACTTTTCAAACTAAGGGTGATTCATAAGAACATATCAATATTTTAGGAAAAATTGTGTGATAGCTAGCTTATTCACGATAGTCAATTTGGTTAGGTATTTATATAATTAATATTTATGTATAAAATGACTAGAAAATGATATAACTAAAATTATTAGATCTATTGCTTATAAATCCTGATTATCTTCCACCTAGGTAAAATCATTCTATGTACTTAAAGTAAAAAAAGAAAAATAATAACCCTTAAATACATTTCAAAATACTCTAAGAATATTAAGAATCATTAATCCATTTGGGTTTTCCCAACTGCTCCAAGTTAGAGAGTTATGTATATATTTCATGTAATTGGTTCTTCCAGTTTGAAACTTTTAACAATGTCACTAAAATTACTTTCATACTATTATCTCACGATACATGGTAAGGGAAAACTTGCTACACATCAAATATGGCCCAATAAAGTCATTGCCATAGGGTTTTTATCTTTATCCTTACCATTACAAGTTCCTCTTGTAACTCACTGTAACTTTTTTCATTATATTGGAGTCTCTTTGAAAGATCTATAATTACTTTCTTCTGTTCGTCGATCTCTTCACTTAGTTTCTTGTTTTTGGAGAAATACTCTCTTTCTAATCTGAAAAGTTAAAAATGTCAGAGCAGGTTTTTCAAATGTACTTCTCCTTCACACAAGTAAGTGATGTTCTATACATCATGTTTACGTGCCAAAAGCCTTTCTAATGCCCATTTTTCCTTTTTTTTAAATTAAAAGGTTTAAGGTGCATTCTTGAATGAAAGATTTTAAGGGAATAACACTTCTCCTTTGACAGTAGGTATCTGTACTGTGTCCAAGTTAATACGCAAAAGAGACTGGGATAGTATTGATGGGGTCTCACCATTATTTTTGATGAACAAAATCTACCCATCTAATTCAGTCAGTTCAGAAACTGCCTCAAGACTGATAAAGTCTGGGGGGCTGTGAGTGAATATGCATGTTGCATGCTCATGAGTGTGCAAGTGAACACACCTATGCATGCACACATGCATACACACACACACACACACACACACACACACACACACACACACACACACACACAACCACAGAGGCAACAGCAGGATATCAAGTGGTCTCCTTACTGACCCAAAGCTCATTGTTTTTGGCTGGCTGGCCATGCCTGCCTTCCCACATGGGTGATGAGGATTCAAACTTAGCCTCTCATGATTACTGAGCATGTGATCTTACTGACTGAGCCATGTCCTTAGCCCCCAAGAAAATTATTTTGAAGTCAGTGATAAGGTTATTAACATACAACAAAAATGAAGCAAATGTTTTTATCCCTATGAATAGAACTGATTTGGCATATGGAAAACTCAAAAAGGAAAAAAATCAAAATGTTCATTTATTTTGAAGACATGTTTACTGCTCTAGTTGGAGCTGTGAGCCTGGGAGAGCAGGGCCTAAAAATGAGGCAGACAAAAATCTCATGCAATAGCCAACTTTATTCAGAGCATCAGACAATTTATGCTCTGAGAGTTAAGAAGAATCACCAAATAAAGTATACAACACAAGGACAAGCTGCACATGACAAAAACATGTTTCTGTAGAGGCACATGAATAGCAACAGCTGAAGTAGACTCACTCCTACCCCACACCTGGGAGGAGGAACATGCAAACACATTCTAAGAACAATTCTGTGTTTTGAAGAAACAGAGATCAAGACTCTTGTCTTGTTTCCTTGGAGTTTTCTCACAAACACTCAGAATTATCACATGACTCCATTCTTGGACTGTGTTCTGATAAGGACACATAAATTTCTTTACAAAAAAAAAGTGCTTTATTATTTAAATATAGTTCGGGCTGATATTAAACTGTGTTTACAATGGTTTGGTTTTGGTTTGGGTTATTGGATAGAATCTCACCACGTAGCTCATACTGGGCTGGAACTCTTTTTGTAATCTACTATGCTGGCTTAAACTCAGTGATCTCCTCTTTAGCCTCCCCAGTGCTGAGATTATGTGAGAGAGCTATCACACGTGGCTGTGTATATTCTCATGTGGACATACGATGAAAGGCAGCTCATAAGCATTGTACCTAAAAAATCTTCATGCATGTGAATGACATCAATTCAATTAATGTCACTATTTTGGCCTGAGATCATCCTAGCAGCTGCAGCAGACCCATTTCTTCTGTCTTCAGCTGTAACACAGGGGACTAGAGTGATTCTGTGACCAAGCAGTACTGCACTCAGGCTAAAGGAAAAATAAGAAGCTAATTTTCCAATGGCACTTGCCCATATGCTGAACAGACATTTTCTTCCTCAGGGTACAACACAAACAAGTCTTGTACATTGTCTTTTGAACCAAAGATATTCCAAGGTAAATTATCTAAAACTAATAAATGTGTATAGAAGAATTAGATACTACATGTATACCATGTAAATCTCTTGGAAAGTAGAACAAAATAATGAAAATGGATCAAAATAAAGAAAAGGTATCTAAATCAGAAAATCAATCCAAGAGTCCCAATATATAAATGGTCAAAGTTCCAGGCTGAAACAACTCACAACAGGCCTGACATCTTGAGAGTTCTGAATGCTGGATCAAGAGAGAAGTATCCATAGAGTACAAAAGTCATCCATATTATTATTTCATCATGTATTACACAGTGAGTCTCTATAAATACATAAAGTAAAAGACCATTTGCCTCTGATTTCAGATGTAAACACTGAGTTTCCAGAGGAAACCACAGACCACAAACAGAAGAATCAAATGACTTCACACTTGCCCACCACTTGCACTGACCAAATAGCCAGCTGACCTATGAAAAGATGGGAAGACCAAAAGTCATTTTCAGAATGTGCCTGCAAATTCTCCCTGGTCTATAAGTTCTCCAAGAGGCTACTTTACGGTACAGCAAACCAATGACAAGGGGCAAGAGATAAGAAGTCAAGGGGCTCACAATGGAAGAAGTCAGAGGAATTCCAAGCAGGATGTTAAAGATAGGTCCTAACATGAGTACATACAGGAAATCTAAAAAGCCAGATGGAGACAGAAAGGCCCCTTAGAAAAAAACACAATATGACAGAATTTCAGGCCTACTAGACTTTAAGAATACCTAGAGGCTGAAGAGATGGCTCAGTGTGGACAGCGCTTGCTGCTCTTCAGTCTGGTCCCAGAGGTCCTGACATCAGGAGGCTCATAACCATCTGTGCCGCTCTGACACCCTCTTCAGGCCTCTACAGGCATCCACACACACATGGTATCCACTCACACAGACACAGACTCACACCAATAAAAACTACAAAAATTAAGTTAAATTAAAAATAGCCAGGCAGCCGGGCATGGTGGCACACGCCTTTAATCCTAACACTCAGGAGGCAGAGGCAGGCAGGTCTCTGAGTTCAAAGCCAGTCTGGTCTATAGAGTGAGTTCCAGGACAGAGAAATCCCATCTCAAAAGGAAAAAACGAAAGAGTTATTGAGTCACAAGCTAATCCCACTCAAGAGGTAACAAGGAGCTGCTTTCTCATTTGTCGACTCAGCAGCTCTCTAGTGCCGCTTTATAAAGCAAGTATTATTCTAGGCCTCTGGAGAGAACATGGGCAAAGCATATGGCAACAATAAAAAACAAAACATATGCCGGGCGGTGGTGGCGCACGCCTTTAATCCCAGCACTCGGGAGGCAGAGCCAGGCGGATCTCTGTGAGTTCGAGGCCAGCCTGGGCTACCAAGTGAGTTCCAGGAAAGGCGCAAAGCTACACAGAGAAACCCTGTCTCGAAAAACCAAAAAAAAAAAAAAACATATAGAAAGATTGCTATAAAGAAAAATAAAGACAAGTGATCCAAAAGTGGTGTAGGGGAAAAAGGATGCTGAACTCAGAGTACCACTCTGGGAGAAAAAGAAGAGGGAAGGAACAGGGGGACATTGTGTGAGAGAAGCAGACAGCAGAGATCAATCAGTAGAGGCTACTTCACAATATCTGAAGGTAGGAACAAGAGCATGGCAGAGCACGCATGTAATTTATAATCTGAGGTGGAGGCCTGGAGAGATGGCTCAGAAGGAAGAGGGTTTGCAAGAAAATGAGCTCCCGATTCCCAGCACCCGCACTGGGTGACTCCGAACTGCCCGGAAGTGCAGCTCCCCGGGATCCAACATCAGCTTCTGGTCTCCATCCACATTCCTCACCTGTTTTCTTCCTCTCCCTCCCTCTCTCTCTCTCCCTCTCTCTCTCCTCTCTCTCATACACACACACACTTAAAAATAGAATCTTTTTACAATAAAATACAATCTTTTAAAAACTAAAACATAATATTAACATCAAAGCAATAGCAGTAAAAATTAAGCAATTGGGGCTGGAGAGATGGCTCAGTGGTTAAGAGCACTGACTGCTCTTCCAGAGGTCCTGAGTTCAATTCCCAGCACCCACATGGTGGCTCACAACCACCTGCAATTAGATCTGGTGCCCTCTTCTGGCCTGCAAAGACACACGCAGGCAGAACACTGTATACATAATAAATAAAATAAATCTTTAAAAAAAAAAAAATTAAGCAATTGCCATCCACAAAAAAACCCGGGAGTCAAAGCCAAAGGCATCAGCGGCTGTTTCTCGTGGTCTTGGCAGTACTGCTTTACTCTTTAAACTATGTACCGGTGTTAGCTTGATAAAAATCAGTATTTTAGTCAAAATAACTATTATCCAATAAATACAACGTTAAATTTATGTGTCATTTGTGCCATTTTAAAAATTCAAAACCTAGGGTTGGTGCTGGAGAGACAGCTCAGCAGTTCAGAGCACTTGTTGCTCTTGTAGAGGACCCGGGTTCAGTTCCCAGCCCCCACATAGGAGCTGTCAACCACCCATAACTCTAGGTCCAGAAGACCTGACATCTCTTCTAGCCTCCGTAGACGCTATGCGCACATGGTGCAGAGACACACATGCAGGCAAAAACACCCACACACATAAAATAAAAATAATAAATCTTTTAAAAATTGAAAACCCTGAGCTGGAGAGATGGCTCAGCGGTTAAGAACACTGGCTGCTCTTCCAGAGGTCCTGAGTTCAATTCCCAGCACCCACATGGTGGCTCACAGCCATCTATAAAGAGATCTGATGCCCTCTTCTGGCCTGCAGGTGTACATGCAGATAGAACACCATATACATAAAATAAATAAATCTTTAAAAAAAAAATTGAAAACCCTAAGATCACTAAAATAAGGAGCAATGCCCTACTGTTAGCAATGTGCTATAAAGAAGCTGGCTCCTGCACCTCTAATGGCCACAAGCAAGAGGAATGTGTAAGGAAAGACAGGTCAGGGAGCTCCTGGGTCGATCCTCGGAGAGGCAGGACTTACAGAGCAGACAGCTGGGAAAGGAGAGAAGAGCAGGAAGCCTAGAGCCAGGATGCTTCCTTACTGGAGTCTGAGTGTTTGAAGTTCAGCTAACAGTTTGTCAATAGCATAGCATGTGTTTTTGAAAACAAGTAATATCTCTTCTGGCTGTATTTTAGCAAGAATGTAAATAATGGTGCCACTAAATCATAACACTGTTTTTATTCAGAAATATATTTAGGAAAATAAAAAAGCTCCTAATTATTGAGGAACACAAGAAATAAAATTTATCTGTAGTCCATTTAA